CAATATATTGTAATTGAAATGTTCGATTATATAAGTTGAGTTAGGTTTTTAAGAGAATCGTTTGGGCTTTTTCTTTATTAGATAAGTATTTGAAGCTTCAAAATCTGTCTCCACAAGTTTTTTTTATATGAGTTTTTATAATATTTTTCTTTTACTAATACTTTTTTATTTTTAGGTTCTATTTATTTCACTATTTCTGCCCCTAGTTTTAGAGCTACAACTATCATTACAATTTGTATGCATAATGACTTATGCGTAATGATCATATACATAATGATTTATGCATAATGATCATATGCGTAATGATATTATGTATAATGATCCATACTATTATGACTGTAGTTAAATACATAAATAATAAATAAATACAACAAATAAATAAATAGCTCTTTAAATAATAGTAAAATAAAATAAAAAAATATAGAAATAAGGTTTAATAGCTATTGAGTAAAAGGTTTGCCAGAGTAACAGGATTATTGCTATAGTCATATGATTATCATAGTATGTTAGCATTATAGGATCATTATGATGCGTCTAGAAATAAAGTGATTACATTATACCTCTCTTCCTTTAAAGCATGAGGACTTTTGAGTAACACAAATCACCTATAAAACCTTAAGATAATCTCTGTTAAAAATTTGTATTGATACAATTTTAATTTTGCTATTAAAACTTAAAGAAATATAGTGAGTTCTCAAGAAGAACAGCTATAATATTTCTTTAATCGATCTGTATTTATCAAATTCTTCCTGTCTGGTATTCGTAATTTGTATATTCCAAGTGTACTATAATTGTGGATGAAGTAAGGACCTTTCTATTTTTCTCTTAATTTATCATCATATACTTTTTTTTTTGCAGATTCGTATAGCAAAACTTGATCTCCTATTTTAAATTCTTCAGATTTTATCCTAGTATTATAATATTTTTTTGTTAACCTTGAGCTTCTTTAATGTTCTATTGAGCTTGAAGTTTTTGTTAGTATAATTGTTCTGTGATCTTCTTAATATGTTGGTCTAACAACTGTTCTAATGAATCTTCTGGAGTCTCTTCTTCCTTTTTTCCTAATAGTTGCAAATCTATAGATAAATTGGCTTGTCGTCTATACGCAAGATAAAACAGATTGTATTTAGTAATATAATTTTGCAGAATATGATATACAAGTAAAGCGGCTAGTAATAAAGTATCCCAAGTGGTCTTGTAGTCTTCTACTAGTTTTGCCAGTATCAAACAAAGGGTTTTATTGAACCATTCCGTTAGGCCATTTGTTTGTAGATAATAGATGGCGACTAGACAGTGACGAATGATTAGAATTTTATATAAAGCTTCTATTATCTCATTATACAGTAAAAGAAACATCACTGATCTGATAGAAAAGTTTTTAGATACCTGTAATAGCAAATTATGTCTTCAAATATAAATTAAGCTATGGTGGATGCCGTCATATCAGATATTGCACAAGCTTCAGGCCATTTTGTCAAGTATTCAGTGGCTACAACAATATAATGGTTTTCTCTTTTGGTTATATCTTTAAAGAGTCCAACGATATCGATTTCTATTCTGTCAAATAGTGTACTAACTGGTAGAGGATTCAATTCTTTATTTGGTTGTGGGGCTCCTTGTCGCTAGCATGTATCACAAGTTTGTACATATTCGTGGATTGTCTTGTGCATTCTAGGCCAAAAGTATTTATTTTTTGCTCTATTGTAGGTTGATTCTACTCTGAAATATCTGGCTGTTATGTCTGAATATAGTCCATATAATACTTTTTCTAATTCATTAGTTGTGATTACTCTTAATAGTGAATCATCTATATTTTTATTTCTACAATATAAGAGGTTGTCACAAAGAAAATAGTATACAGCTTGCTTTATAAATCATTTTCGTTATGTCAGATCCAAATTTTCTGAAATTTTTGCATTTCCAAGATATGTCTTGATTTGGTGATATTCTTATAAATCCATTTTACAATTTTCACTTTATTGTGTAGTAAAAAAAATTTTTTTTTTTAATAGATTTAATGTCAAGACACCATAACCTAGACTAAATTAGCAAATTTATAAATAAGTGTTTCTTTTTTTTTTATAAGTAGGTTTATTACTAATAATTCTTTTTTCTCATAGAGGCTTGTGAAGAATTTTTGATAAGGTGTCCATATTATTATATGTATAACCTTTCCTATATCAAATGCTACAAGGATATTCTGTGGTGATCATAATCCATCTTGCTAATCTTTCAGTAGATTGGAGATTGTTCAAAAGCTATCTCAAGGCTTGATGATCCATAACTAACTCTAACTCTTTTCTATAAATATAGAGGCAAAAGTATTGCATAGCCCAAATAGTGGCCAAACATTCAATTTCGGTGGTGGAAAATTTTTCTCAGAATCATTTAATCCTCTACTTGCATAGATAACTACGTATTCCCTATTACTATCATCTTTTTGAACTAAAATAGCATCTAAGCCTATGTACAAAGTATTAGTATATAAAATAAAAGACTTATTGAAGTCAGGGTATTATAATATTAGGGCTGTGATTAGCCTTTGTTTTAAATTTTCAAAGGCTTCTTGACACTGATCATTCTACGTATACTGTATATTCTTCTTTAAGAATAGATTAAATAGGCTAGGTGCTGAGAAAAGGAACCAAATTGACAATTTTTTAAAGGATATTTTTTTATATAAATTAATTTAAAATAAGATTAGAAACATTTTTTACTTAAGACACAAAAGTAATTGTATTAATAAAATTTTGTGGTATAGCATTTTAAAGTTTGCATTTTCTTATAATTTATTATAAGATTTATAACATAAAAATTGATTTTCCAAAGATCTTTTTTTGTTAATTTGGTCCTTTTTCTCAGCACCTAGCCCAAATGGATACACAATCTCAGAAAAATTTTCCACAAATTTTCTATAATAGGAGGCCAATCCGATAAAGCCTCGTAATTTGGTTAAATTCATCAGTATTGGGAAGTTTTTTACTTTTTCAGTTTTATCTGGATCGAGAGCAATACTATACATGCCACTGAAATAGGTTTCAAAAAATCCCAATTTTGTCTCTATTAGAGCAAATTAAATTTTTTTATATGCAAGAGCAAATCTAATTTAGGTAGTTATATTTTTTATAATTTTGTCTCTTCAAAAAAAATATTAAAAAATTTCATTTTTTAAATAAAATAGATCAAAATAATTTCAGCTTCAAATTTTAATTTCAGGTTTTGGACTCCAAAATAATTTCGTCGACATATATAGCTTTTCTTAATAACTCAAAAATCTGTTACA